TAAGCAGTTGTTTCTTATCTGCTTATGGATTCCTTTTTAATTATATGGAAAAGTGAAGAAGCTGAAAGAAAGAGCAGGGCGGGGATAAGTCTGAGAGATTAATGGCCAGGGAAGAAAAAGAAGAAAATGAGGAGAAAGAAAAGATCATCAGAAATAAGGATTGGCCACGAGGACATATTTTAACATTTTGTGTTTTCGGAACCTAGAATTTCATATAATAAGAATCTTCTAAATCTAATGTTTCCAATGATGCATTTTTTTTTTCTCCAATGACTCCTGGTTAAACCCAGAGCAAATTTTGACTCAACTCAGGTGCCCCCACTTGGGAATTCAGTGGATTAATTATTCACATTGGTGACTTTCCCAAGAACCATGTCATCATTGGGCACCTGGCACAATGTCTGGTGGATATCATGATAGAAAATGAGATCCATAATGGGAACTTGGTGTGAACACTTTCTGAAGAGCATAACCCTTTGGGCATTCCAGGACACACACACACTACTGCCAACATATACATTCAAATATAGATATTCCATCTAGCAAGTTCAGGTATAAGGTTTCAAACCTCCATCAGATAAGCAGGTCAGAGAATGGCAGGGGCAATTTGGGGAACAATAAGAGTGGCAAATATATTTCAATTCATACAAGAACTGTGGCCCTTCGATAGAGACTTCTGGGTGTGCTACTGTAAGGATTCTGAGGCAAGAACAGGAAGGAATGAACTATTGCCTGAATCTTTGTGTCCCCCCCAAATTAAGATGTGGAAATCCTAACCCCCAAAGATTAGTTTAGGAGATAGAAACTTTTGAAATTGATTAGATCATGGCGGCAGAGCCCTTGAGAATAGGATTAGTCCTTATAAAAGAGGCCCCAGACAGCTGCCTCACCTCTTCAACCACGTGAGCAGATAGAAGGCACCATCTGTGAATCAGGAAGCTGTTCCTCACCAGATACTGAATCAGCTGATACCTTAATCTTGGACTTTCAGCCTCCAGAACAGAGAGAAATAAATTTCCATTGATTTTTAATCCATTTGTTTAAAGTATAGCAGCCCAAATAGACTAAATCAGAGTGCCCATGGTAAGGGCAGGTGAAACAGTGGATCCTGGGGCATGTCATAAACGTTAAGTCATTAACATAAGGGGAGTGTTAAGTCATTAACAAGCAGAGTATAAAAATGAAGTTCAGCATGCATTCCCCAGTTGCTGATACTGTTAGTGGAGGGTGTGTGGCACAGTGGTCCACACTCACAGTTCTCAAACCTGAGCCCCACCATTAACCAGGAGTGTGACCATGAGCAAGACTTAACCTCTCTGTGCCTCTGTTTTCTCAAGTGTAATATGCAATAGTAATAACGATAATTTCCCCCCAAATTGTGAGAATTGAACAATTTAAGTCTGTAAAGCACTGATATATGATAAGGACTATGTAAATACAATAGAACCTCCATAGCTGACCACCTCCTCAAGTTGACCTAATTTTCATAGACCAGACATGCACCACATGGATGTATCAGTACAGTAGGCCTAGTTCCTTATGTTGACCACCTCTGCATGTTAACCATTTGTTACAGTCCCTTGGGTGGTCAACTTACAGAGGTTCTATTGCATATATGTTTTTAAACCTCTAGTATGACTTTCGGTTTCCTAAAATTTTCGTCATGTCTTTTGGCTAAAGAAATCATACAGGGATTGAGATTAGAATTGTTCAGAAAGGAGAGAGAATAGTGAACAAAGCAGGGTAACAAAGCTTTCTCCTCCAGGACAGGGGCCTCACCAGCCACAGCCCGCCACTGCCCCAGGACTATGTTCTTGTAAAGAAACAAACTGGAGAGGGTGAGGATCAGACTCACAACTTCGAGACACAAATGGTGGCTCATGATCATAATCTGAGGAGGGGGTCCAGCAGGTAGTCTTGTGCCCCACCCAAGTCACTGCACCAGGAAAGTGCCAAAGAGAGAGAAGCTGCCATGCTACAGAGCCCCTGGTGCCTAATGCTGCTGTGCTCTCTCAACATGGGACACCTGGCATCCCTGCTCCTGCAGGGCAGAGTGTAAGAGGACCCCTCCCAACCTCCCAAGATAGTGGGCTACAGGCCATCCTCTGCTTGTCTACCTCCCAGCATTGCACACCAAGACCTCACCTCATCAATGAGAAACAGGCCAATTGGATGGAGCACGATGCTAACAAGGCCAAAACAGAGTCTTCAGCCCACATACATGCATCAATTAACTTTGCACAGAACCAGAAGACTGTTCCCAGACCATGCCAGCCTTTTGCAAGTGTGTTAAGGATAACCTACTACCACAGCCACTGTCGGCACAGACCCAGGACTCCTACTCCTAAAGGGAAGTATCAATATGGCAGTATGACATTAGGCCTCTATTGCCCTAAAGCACGAGATGACAGCACAGCTCACAGTCCCATTTCTGACCTTCAGCACACTTTCCTCTAGTCCTAGCCTTTAAAATTTATTGACTAATTGTTACATGCAAAGCACAATGCCACTCTTTCTCTAGAACTACAAAGTCAAGTGTGAAAAGTAAAGAGAAGAGAAAGGAGGGGAGAGGAGAGGAAGGCATCATGGGAAGGGAGGAAGGAAGGAGCAAGGGATGAAAAAGAAACAGCAAGAGAGAGAAAGAGATAGAGAAGGACCTACTGTGTTCCACCCCTGTGTTTTAATCTGTACACCAGCCAGGTGGGTCCCAAGTGCGATACCCATTTCATGCACAGGGTGTCGTGAAGGAAGGGAGAATGACAGCCATACAAGTTACTGTCTTCCACCTGCAGAACTGGAGGTGAAGATGGGAAGCGCCAGGACGGGGTTAGAAGCCACAGCATCCAGTCAGCTCTAGCTGATGAGCTGGGGGATGCCGGGCAAGTCACGGGATGGCCCTCAGCTTCCCTGGTCCTTGGCCTATGAATGAAGTGGGGTTGGACTGTAAGGGGGACAGACTACAGGCCACTGTGATGTCTTTAAACAAATGGAAGTTGACCACTGCATGGGCACAGTTGCCCACCCCCATCACTCTCCACCCTACAGATATTTAACCTGCAGGTGAATCCTGCCTTCCAAGAGCCCATAGTTTAGCAGACTGACTCCAAATCACTCCCCCCCACCAATATTTGTAGCAAAAATTCATTTGCAGCTTTCAGTTTTTGAAGTACTCGACTTTATTTTGAATGGAGCACCTAAAATAATTCAGGTAAATTCAGTTAATGCTAAAGATTTAATCCCCTGGAATGAATTCATAACAGAGGCATGTAAATAGACCCAACTCTTTGTAACAGACAATCAAGGAACTGGGTTAGATAAAATGAAGGGTTTAGGCTCAGTGCCCATACCTCAGTGGTTTGGGTGCCGGCCACATACACTGGGACTGGCAGTTCGAACCCAGCCCAGGCCAGATAAACAACAATGACTACAACAAAAATATAGCTGGGCATTGTGCTGAGTGCCTGTAGTCCCAACTACTTGGGAAGCTGAGGCAAGAGAATCACTTGAGCCCAGGAGGTGGAGGTTGCTGTGAGCTGTGACACTATGGCAGTCTACCAAGGGTGGCATAGTGAGACTCTGTCTCAAAAAAAATTAAAGGATTAAGGGCTTAAAGAAATATCTGGCTGTTTGACCTTAGGTTATAAAACTGGCCCAGCTAGCCTCTTGCAGTGTTGAGGACATGGCCAAGGCTGCTGTGGATATTGAAGAAATGCTGCATCCAGTCAAGTGAATTGAATCTGTGGCGTTTAAAGGTAAACGTAGAGTTTCCCACATGGATACTATAGAATCTTTACATGAGGTGAGTATACAGACAGACAGAGATAGACTTAATTCTCAGAACATACCTGCCCATTTTCTTCTCACATTCTTTCTTTCCCCTCGAGAAATGAGGTTCACCTATGAGAGAAAGTGGATCAGAATCCACATGCCATCTGAGAGGGGCGGCTCTCAATCCCCAGCCACCATCTGCTGCCCCATGTCCACCCCACAGACCACAGCCCCTCCTCACCTGCAGGGTGTGCTGGGGTCCCAGCAGCAGGGTGGCACAGGAACCAGATGCCTGGAGCCCATCCGCCACACAGGGACCATTCTCAGAGTGCGGCACTTCCTGTCTGTGCTTTGACTCATCTGGATCAGGGAGCTGCAAATGAGGGCACTTAATACTTCACTGTCCCAGAGGTCGTTCTTAAATTTGGGACTCGGAGTTAAGTAGTGGGAGAAAATTAAACAAGAAAGCTCAGGAACCAGGATGCTTGGACAGCCAGGTACGTACCAGGTGTGTGGTCCAAGGCTGAGAAAGGAAAGGAGGGGCTGAGGGATCCCACAGGTGCCCTGAAGAGGCAGAGGGACGCTGTCAGACTTGCTGCCACTCTAAGAAACTAAGTGCATTAAAAAGGGGAAGGGAAGAGAGGGAGGGAAGGGGAGGGGAAGGGAGGGGAAGGAAGGGGAAGGGAGGGGAAGGAAGGGGAAGGGAAGGAGAGGGAAAAGGAAAGGAAAAGAAAAAAGGAAAGGAAAGGAGAAAAGGAAAGGAAAGGAAAGATGAATGCAGCCTCGTTTGTTACAGAGGTGGTGGTGAGTGCAGTGCTGATGGAAGAAGCCCCCATCCTGAGTCCCCCATATGGCCAAAGTGCTCTTGGACTCCTCCAGACTACTGACAAGGTCCTTGGACTCTGCGATGGCCCCTGCATTCCATCTCCCCCTCTCCCAGCTCTCTCTCCTTTTCCGCTCTCTCTCTTTCTCAGCATACATTGAGGAACAGCAAGAACATGCATAAAAGCAAATGCAAAAATCCAGATGTCTGTCACTGGTGTCACACCCCTGTCTATTTGGCTATTCAAACAAGTGGCCGAATTGCTTCATTTGAATCTCTGAGTAATAAATAATATGAAAATAAACATCAAGTAAATATAGGAAAATTACATATTTGAATTCTAAATCCATTTTTTTCTCAGCAAAGATATATAGTAAAACTTTTGAAAAAAACTTTTTTTTTTATTATTAAAAATATGGAATGCTTCACGAATTGGCGTGTCATCCTTGCACAGGGGCCATGCTAATCTTCTCTGTATTGTTCCAATTCCAGTACCTGTGCTGCCAAAGCGAGCACCTGAAAGTTTTAATTATTTTAATTTTTCTGAGAACGGTCTAGAGGAAAAAAAATTCAAACGTTTCCTTACTCAGGATGGTATATAATGTTTATATCTGAAAGTTAAAATATTGACCTTTAATGCATAATTATATCTTTTTTGCACCAACCAAAACTTCTAGCCAAGAGAACAATACAATTAGTATCACTCTCCTTCTGAGCTTTGAAATTATCATGTGAGTTGTTTACAATAAAAATGACTTAAAAATGCATATTGAGAGTTGAATGAATGTAAAGTAAAAATCATTTATCATTATCAAATAAAATGTAGTTTAATCTCCTTGTCACCTCATACCTTCAAAGTCAACCTGTGTTTATTAAGCAAATACATTATTGGCATCAAAAAGACTGTGCAAGGTGGCAGCATTTGTTAATGACAAGGGTATAATCCTTACCTGGATTTCTAAGCTTTTGTTATCACAGCGTCATTGTCAAATGTTTAAGAAACACAAAATCATTCTATGCTTTTAAATGTATGGTCTAAGGGAAACAAGTTACTTAAAGGTGTCAATTGAATTAAATGGAAGGCCAAGCAGAGTTTTGATGATTCCGTGATATGGTTGATCAAAGCACTTTTTATAATCAAGAAGGATTCATTGAAACAGGTAAGAAATCCATGCCATCTTGTTTCTCAGCTGCAGAGTTGTGATTGTGCCTACCGCTCTTCCCCGGGTGTGCAGTGAGTGCCATCAGTTTTCTTCAAGATCAAGGTATATTCTTGCCTGGCTTTATTCAATATTTAACCAGAAGAGGTCTATTTGCTTTGTAGAGAATAATCCATGGTAAATATCTCCTAGTAACCACAGACCTTTCTTTTTTGAGAAAGCTCTCTCCTACCTGTTCCCCACCTCTAGACCAACTAGTGATGCTGAAGGATGAGCGACCCCTGAGTAGTTGGAGGTAAGAACAGAAGAACAGGGGTGGCCGGTGCCTGCACCAGTCACTGTGCCCTGCTAATGAGGCTGACATGTTTGGACGAAGCAACCCAATTTGCATTTGTCACCAGAGTGAGACATGAGCAGTGTGAATACTGAGAGGGACAGATGTGCCCCAGCAGGACTGCCACCTCAGACAGCCCGCTGTGCTACCAACACGGGGAGACTGCCAGCTCAAGGGACACCCCTTCGCCTCTGAGGAGCCTGTGGTACTGCCAGACATGGCAGAAGAAAGGGACATATGTCCTTTCTCAAGGCCCTGGGGTCCTGGCTGACGGATGGGGAACAAATTAGCTGGTGCCCCATTGTGTGCTGAAGTCACGGTCTCTGGGGACTGTTTGCTGTCCTTTAAGTATGATGCCCCTTTATCTTTTCTGACTCCCCACCCTCCTACCCTTGCTGTGTTCTTGAGAGATGCAAAGATTTTACCAGACTCGACTTTTTTCTGACTTTCTTCCAAATCTCTAAAATACACAGCAGCCTAATTAAGTACAGTCTAGAGTAGCTGGTGCTAGTCCCTGGTAGATGACAGTCACTTTGGTACCATATCAAATTCTCTCAACAACAGCTACTGTGAAAGCAATCTGTAACTTCTGTTTCTAGCACTGAGGTGCTCCAGCCCTCCAGCGGCCACACTTGCTCCCCTACCACATGCAAACCGTTGCCAGATCCTGGAGATTTGACCCCAAAACCTTCTCCTGCACTTCTCTCCTCCTATCTTATCTCAGACTCTCCATCTCAGCTGGCACTGTGGGCCCCTCTGGACCAGACCTCAGCCCACTCTGCATGCTCTGCTGTCTGTACCTTTGCTTCAAACCAATTCTGCTGGCAAACCAACCTGTTCCATTTAAAAGTACTAGCTTTCTATCTCCTCCAATCTTCTCCATGCTTCCTCTGCCTGGCATCCCAGCACCCAGGTTCCTCTCTCAAATCCTACCTCCCCTTTTTAGGGTGTTCACTGTGGGCTGCCTGGCTAGACATTTTCTGTGAAGAAACATCCCTATTAATTCTGATTACTTAGGGCAGTAACACCTGTTGAACACTTACCAGATTCTGCCCCGCATTCCAGCTATCTAAATCTTTTCTTCCCATCTGATAATTACTTATAGTCAAGAATTGCCCCACTCATGTCTGTGTCTCGTTTTCCTTATCAGTGCTCTGCAAACAGCAGGCCCTGGAGTGAGGTGTTATATGAGCACCTTGGTCAACATTACACATGGGCCACATGTGTTGTGTCACTTCTGCACAAAGAGGGATGATATCTCAATGGTGAGACAGCTGGATCAAACCCCGACCCCCACCTTGTCAAACTGCTGTTTTCCAGCACTTTCCTGTTCTGTGCTTCTCTGAACTTCCCTATATAATAGGGATCACCGTAGTGCCTACTTTGGGGCCAGAGGTGGTACTTTAGGCCCCACTCTCAGCAGCCTGCTGTTCTCCCCTCAGGCATTATCCTGACATTACTTAGGAAAGGGGGAGATGAAATTCTACATCACTTGTATGAGTTGCGAAAACTAGAAAGAAGAGTCAACGAAAGATAAATTTTGACAACTTTTTAATGCCAAGACAGACTACCTGTCATGATGTCTCTTTACTTAAGAAGAATAAATCATGAGCTCATGTCTGTAGCTAAGTTTGCCTCAAAAGAAAAAGTATTTAAAGGTCCCATCTCTCAGCACTCTTGCATTAGGGACCAAGTTTCCAACATATGAACTTTGGGGGACATAGTTAAACCATGGCATTGATCCCCTGTCCACTCCTAATTCTTGTCCTTTTGACATGCAAAAACATTCATTTTATCCCAGTAGTCCCAAACGTCTTAACACTTTCCGACACCAACTCAAAAGCCCAAAGTCTCATCCAAGTCAGATATGGTGAGACTGCAGGCATGAGTCATCCAGAGGGAAACGTCTCCATAGCTGTGAAATGTGAAATTAACAGGCTATGTGCTTCCAAAATACAGTGGTGGGACAGGCAGAGGCTAGATTTTCTCATTCCAAAAGAGGATTGTTTGCTGCTGACAAGAAGAAAGGGGTAACTGGTCCCAGTAAGTATAAATTTCAACAGGGAATACAACATGACATCTCAAACCTAGAGAATAATCTCCATTAGCTGTAGGTCCCACATCCTGTGCACAGTAGGTCGGCTCTTAAGACCTCAAGCAGACTTGCCCCACTGAGCTCAGTCTACCCAGCTTCTGTCATGGGCTAGAGCTGTCCAGCTCTTCTAATCGGATGCCGCAGGCTGGTGGCTCTATAGTTCTGCTTCTCTTAGTCATTTCTTTCCTGTCTTATTATATGTGACTCAAAGTACCCATGCTGCCCCTTCAGTGTTTTGCTTAGGAATGTCTTCTTTCAGATAGCCTCATTCATTGCTCTAAGACTCCACCTTCCACAAAGCCCTAAGATGTGGACACGAGTCCACCAAGTTCTTTACTACTTGATAACAATGGTGGCTTTGACTCTAGTTTCCAGTGGTTTGTTACTCAGTTGCGTCTGAGACGGCATCGGAATGGCCTTTACCATCCATATTTCAACCAACATTCTGATCATGACCTCTCAAGTAATTTCTAAGAGGCTTTAAATTTGCCCTACATTTCTTGTCTTCTTCTGAGCCCTCACCAGAATTGCCCTCAACATTCCATTCACAGTAATACAGGTTTCTTCCAGCCTGTGCTTCCATGTTCTTCCAATCTCATCCACATTTTCAAGTACTTTCTGGTTCCACTTTTTTTGTCTTGATGTCTTTTGTGTTGTTGTAATAAAGTACCTGAGACTACATAACTTATAAAAAAAAAAAAAACTGAAATTTGTTTCTTACAGTTCCAGAGGCTGAAAAGTTTAAGGTCAAGGAAGAGGCCTTCATGCTGCATCTGACCCTGACAAGACAGAAGGGCAAGAGAGCATGCATGCAAGAGAGAAGAGGGGGTAGAGAAGAAGGAAGAGAAACCCCTTCTTTTATGGGAACACACTCCCATGAAAACTAACCCGCTTTCTAAATTACAGATAGAGCTCTCATGACCTAATCACCTCCTAAAGGTCCCACTTCCCAACACTGTTGCATTGGAGATTAAGTTTCCAGCACATAAACTTTGGGGGACACATTTAAGCTGTGGCAGAAGTCATTCCCATATCAGAAAGTGGACCCTCACCCAAGACCAGGCCTACTTTCTACCTTGTTCTTGAACTTCCAGCCTCCAGAACTGTGAAAAATAAATGTCCGTTGGTTAATCCCTCCAGCCTGTGGTATACTCATTCCAGCAGCCCAAGACTGACTAAGGCAGAAACTGGTTCCAATCTCTGAACTGGGATTCATGACACTATGTCATCTTGTTGCCCCTTCTTAGCCTCCTGCCACCACTTATGGCCACGGTAGAAAGAGTACCATAGAAATCAAGATGGCTCTAAAGCTGCCAGGCCTCTGTGATTCAGGGACTCTGGAATCTGCTGCCTTGTCTCAGCTTGGGGAGAGTGCAGCTGAGACTGAATCAGTACACCCAGGGATGCCTCAAAGAAGCCCTGGCCACCTGCCTCAAACAGGCTTTGCGCAGGGAAGCAGTCAGTCCACACTGTGTATGTTACCTGCACAGTCAAAAAGATCTGGAAAATCCCCCCAAAACTTATGTTTTACTCACCTTCCCTGTAACAAGTAAAGAAAACATCTACAGCAAGTTCCAGTCCCAGGACTCATAGCTCTACTCTGAAAAGGATCTTTCTCAGAGAAATCCAAAAGAAAATCCCCCTCTAGGTAGGTTGTATTGAACAAAAATATTTGATGAGAAAAAAATAGTTCTCTCCATGGGAATCTTTGAGGGGAATAGAGCATTTCACAGTTGTCTGTGGTTTGAACCCTGGTCTCCAGCCCTGAGATTTACCCTGTGGCCGTGGGCACCTTCCTAAATTCGATTAACCTCTTTGGTATGTAAAAAATAGTTGAAACTTGCCCGGTAAAAATTAAAAGGCTAGCAGTAAGAAGGAATTTGGGAAGTCTGTGCAGGCCCCTCACATCAATTCTTTTACTGGAACA